AGGTAGAATTTGGTAAAAAAGACGCCATGTTGTTCGCATTGCCGAGAATTCTCGAGTGGAGCCGAAGTTGGTCGATTACGTCGACGCCTACGGATACAATATGGGGTCTTTTGCGAATACGCTCAACACACTCAAATATTACACATATACATAAATACATTACGTTTGTATTATACGTACACATCTATGCATAGATAAATGTGTCATTTTAAAGTAAACAAAGTATATATATATATATATTCTCGTAGGTATTTGTTCCGCGTATATTCTTCACATGCATGCATAAAAAATGTATAAACATGTGTTGGTAAGGTCGTCTGAAAGAATTCGAGATAATTACGATTGCTTAACAAAAACACTTCTATTGACTTCGATAATAATCTTCTATAAGTATAAAGATGATATTAAATCGTGGTTTAAATCCTCTTTCTTTTGATAGGATCGAAATAAAACGAGAGTTCGATATTGAACCGTAACTTTAAGTCGCAACCATCACCTCCTCCTAGACGGATCGATCGAAAACAATTTGAGAAGGATAGTTTAAATATAACTTATATATAGTTGCATTGAAATATTTTATGAGGAAAAAAGTAGATCTTTAACTTTTTCTACTTTTTTTTTTTTTCCAACAAATAATAATGGCGAGAGGTGGATAGTTACGCGAACTTTAGATATTTCATTATTCATCTGTTAGAAACATTGACGATGAAAAAAAAAATATATTCTATGCGTGTTTAGTATTAACAAATTAACAAAAAAAAAACTCGATTTGTTTTTCTGTAATGAAGGATTTATATAATGAACTTAAAAAATAATTTAATAAATATAAAGAGTTGACGAAAATTAAACGTAAAAAGATATATGTCGGATGTGGAAAAGTGTATTGTTTTATTATTATTATTATTATTATTTTCTTTAATTGTATCAATTTGTACAAATGATGATAAACCTAATTAATCATAAATTATAACGGATAATTTAATAGTACGTCTTGTCGGGCTAATTCCAACAACATAGGATCGTCGAAGAATTTATTGATGGAAACATCTTCAGAGAGACCTTTACGTCTACGTGTCTTCAACATGAATTCTCTAGCTAAATGTGTAGCAGGTTGTGGTTCTAATGGTCTAATGGTAATAGTTTTATCCAATGGATCACCCGGTACAATTTGCCAGTGATGAAAAACGGACAAACAGAATGCTTGGCCTTGAGTATGCGTTCTTAAATCTGTTTCAAAACCAAAACTATCGATTGCAGGAATGAAAGCTTTAATTGTATACAATGGACTTCCTGGAACAGGAGCATCTTGAGTAACGTGACCTCGACGTTTTGCTAAAACAGTATAAACGGCGGACACACAATCGGCAGGTGCTTGAACTTCGACAAAGAAATAAGGTTCCATTAATCTCGGTGTGGCCATCAAAAAAGCCGAATACGCGACTCTCCTAGCGGTTGGAATAATTTGACCACCTGATTACAATAAATAAACAAAGAAAAAAAGAACAAATAGATTAACACGTTGACTGGTTAGCAAAATTTGTTTTCATACAGCACTGCAATTGTTTCATATAATCTTAAAAGTGACAATGAAAAAGAATAATCATAATAATAATAACAATTACGTACCACCTCGATGCAATGGTTCTTGAGCTATTACAGCATCTAATATTTTAAATTTGACGTTTCGAATGGGCTCCTCGCAAAGTGGTCCTTCACGTGTACCCCATTGAAATCCTTGAATAATAGCATCACGAGCACTGCTCAACAAACTCTTGTCCACTTCGGATGGCAAAGTATCGTCTACCAAAATGTTAGGACCTGTTGCATCTGGTCCAAAGGCCCATATACTTCTTGCGGCTAACAAATCCCAATCGTACTTTGTTTGGAAAAACTCTCCCAATTTTTTTCTATTAACATAATAATTGATCGAATTTTAATAGTATTCATTAATTATTAAACATTCTGTAATTGACTTACTTGTTCCAAGTAATTTTAACGTGTTCAGCTTCGATGTCTTCCGCAAGACCTCTTTCAAGTGGTTCAGCGATCATCGTCAATTTGTTTCTCTTATTCGGAGTTTCCGCGAAACATTTGAGAGAACTGGTTTCAACTACAGTTTCAGCAAATGCAACAACCGGATCAGCGACCTTGATATCAATCTCAGAATACATGCGACGTAAATCGTGCATAGCACAATCCAAATATAATTCACCAGTTCCCAATACAACGTGTTCACCGCTTTCTTCAACGCGTGTTCCTAGTAGCGGATAACTTTTGTTCACTTTTCTTAAACCGTCCAACATTTTGGGAAGTTCTGATGGATTGACTGGTTCAACAGCAATTTTAATAACACTTTGGGTATTAAATTTCAATGGTCGGAAGATATGTAGATCGTCTGTATTGTTGAGATCGGTAATTGTACTGGTTTTTACTATCGGCCTATCAATTCCTTCTATGAGTACCCAATTTCCTGCAGGTACACGACTCAATTCAATTGAATAACGTGCTTCACTTATCCATAATCGGCCAACAGTTAACACTCGTGAATCTTCTTCATCAGTTCTTGAATATGCTTCTCCTAAAACTCGTACACGTTGACCTGCTTCAAGTGTTCCTGACATTACTCTCCCTAAGACAACGAATAACGTGCAGTCTTCTGTTGGATACATTTTTGTACTATGAATCATTAATCTTCCCTGAAAATCAAAATCAAAATCATTTAAAAATAATTAAGTATCTTAGGTATATTTAAAACAAATCAAACTTACCTCAGGGTCACAGTTAACCATATCCTGTGCAAGAGGAGAATCTATAGGACCTGTATAAACATGCTGAACTTTTATTGGTGCATGTGCTTGTGGACTAGGAACGTGCATAACACACATGTCGACTAAACCACACATGTCTCCCAAAAAACGTGTACACACCAAACGTAATAGTGGTCTAATATTCATTTTCATTTCTTCTGACGTCAATCGAATTCCTAATTCGCTCAGAACTGTAAATAAAAAGTCAGTGAATAAATTTATATATAATTATGTAATTCAAATGATTTAATATACTAACCATCAGGTAAAGTTGTATCGACATCCCCAACAACTTGTGCAAATATTTTATACAGTGGTTCCAATATGAATTCAATAAAACTACGTTGAGCTGTATTATGTGGAGGTTTTTTAGTAAACTTTCGTGTTTTTGAATTAAAGTATATATCTCCCCATAATCTTTTTGCAAATTCATTTGTATTAAGTGATGGATAACTTTTGGCATAAAGAGCAGCAAAGGATTTAAGAGTAAAACAGACGTTATATTCAGAACTGGCGAAACATACATTTCCAATAGCTGGTGAAACGAAAGCTGTATTTTCAGAATCTGAATATAATGCAATTAAACCATTGATTTCTTCAATGATGTGTCGTAATTTATAATACGCGTCTAAAGGTGGTAATTTTAATTCCAAAACAAGACGATCTATTTTGTTGATGCATACGGTTAATGCTAATTTTTCTTGTAATGCATGCTTTAATAAACGTTCTGTATTAAGCATAACACCTTCTGCTGCATCAACGATGAGTATTGCACCATCTGACAAACGAATAGCAGCTGTTGCTTCATCCGAAAAATTCACATGACCTGGTGTATCAAATACATTTAACAAATATGATTTTGATTTAACATCTTGTAAAAGCAGAGTAACGGGTGTTGCTTTTGTTGATACTCCACGTTGTTGTTCAGTAAACAAAGTATCCGTATACCTAAATAAATTCAAATTTTAATATAAATTCCAATGAATTAATCTTCATAAATGTTATATTACCTCAAAGGTTTTTCATCTGTAACACTGTGTATATAAGGATGCGTTTGTCGTATAAGACAATCAACCAAAGTAGTTTTTCCATGATGCAAATGTCCAAGTAATACGACGTTTCTAATTAAATGAGGTGCATCCATCATGTCAGCTAAAAATTCAATGCTATAAGTTGTCTCTGGTAATTGTTGTTGTTTTATTTGAAATTTAGGTTTCCTAGTAGGTTCTATCAAAGGTTTATCTAATGGTTGTGCATCTTCTTCTTGTACGAGAGTTTCAACCTATTAAATAACAAACAAAATTCATATAAAAATGTACAAAATAAATGTATATTTGTAAATAATAATAATATTACCTCTGGACCATACACTTCTAATGCACTAGGATAATATCTTTTATCTTCGTGTAAAACAACAGCTGTAGATAAACCTTGTTCTGCATTATCTCTAGATTCATCTTTGTCATCTTCCATCTCCTCATCAGAACGTTCCCTGTCTTCTGCATCATCTCCAACATTTCCATATTCGGTTTCATCTTCACTTTCTGATGCTAAGTCCGGTCCAATGTAATTACCAAATTCATCATATAGGTCAGCGTCCATGGTTGTTATGTGTTGTAGATAATAAAATGTACTTAGAAATTATTCTAACTGAAATAAGGAATAAAATGAATATTATTTTTATCAAAATAACATAATCTCATGATATGTTTATACTATAAAGTATAAGTTATAACTTTGATAGGTTAAGATTTATATTATTTTGTTTTTATAACATAAAATTATGTAATACTTACAATATAATCATGCATATCACTATTATATAGTTAATTTTTAATATTTCTTTTTAAAAAATTATATTCTTTAATTGTTTTCTTTATTTATGTACACACATACACTAAAAACCGCAACTTTATTATATTCCCTAACCTATAATTTCTACTGAATAGTTAGAAAGACGCGGTACTAGATTGACAGTGTAACCAACCAATGAAATTAAACTTAAGAAATTAATAATAAACATCAATTTCTATTCAACGCTTGTGATTGGTTATTTCTCTTAGCTTGATTGTAGAAAATATTATCTAGGAATGAAACTAGTGAATTTATTTTCACTAGTTGTACGTAGTGATGTTATCAATCTCAGTGATAGACTACATTGATTAGTTTATATATTGAAAGTTTTTATAATTAACATATATATTATCATTTATTTATTTTTCAACAATTTATTACAATATTTTTTAATCAACAATTTTAACAAACGATTAATAAAAATTAAGAATAATCTTGATCAACTAAACAGTTCAAAGTGCATTAGGTTAGTATATTTTCTATTTCATATAGGTTAGAAAAATAATATTGTGTATAAATTAATGATATTGTTTTAAACAATGAATATACATAATAAAATAGATATTATTTATATATATATATATATATATATACACGTGTAATTTTGTAGGATTCATGTACATGTGAACATTGACGCATTTATGTACGCACACATATACATGTGAACTTTGTACACATATATATCTTGAAGGGTTGCGCATACTAGAAAATATCTAACAGCTGGCAGCACGACACACAGGAGTGGCAGATCATGTAAGGTGAGAAATCATTTTTAATATTTAAAACATAACCTTTCACATTTTTATCAATAATCGTTGAATATTTCTGTTGTTGTAAATAAAAAAGGTGCATTATTTTCCTACAAATAAAATGAATTGTCTTTAAGTATCATTTAGCAGTGACAATGTGTTGATTATAAAACAAAATTGTTCTGACATGTTTTTACTTTTGATTTATTTCAGGAATTTTCATTGGAAAACAATATTAGTTGAATTTGTGTGCAAAAGGACTGGCAAGATAATATTAGAAGAATTGTCAGGATAGGCAGACGTAGGCAGAACAGTGGGGGTGGGGGTGGGAGATTCAGAGGCGGTATGACACGACCTCCTAATAATGACAACCTTAAGACTTTCAAATTGGTCGTGGTTGGAGATGGAGGAGTTGGAAAAAGTGCATTGACCATACAGTTCTTTCAAAAATTATTTGTCACCGACTATGATCCTACCATCGAGGACAGTTACATTCAACATACCGAAGTGGATAATCAATGGTGTATTCTAGATGGTAAATATATCTTTCATTTAACTCAATAATTTATATTGTAATGTATTTCTTTGATGATTAGTAAATGTAAAGCTTAATTCCAATGTTACAAACTTAACCCTTTCGCGGCGAAGCGCTTAAAAATGAAATGCTCTCTCTCAGCAGCCAATGCGATAGTGGTTGTTTGTACGGACGACACGGTACGCATCATAACGTTCGTAAATCAAATTCACGGCGCCATAAGGCGCTGTTCGTTCAGAGGAAGTGTCCATAGTCGAGTGCTAAATGGCGCTGTTCGCTGAGAGGAAGTGTCCATAGTCGAGCACCGAGCACATGTTCGCCGCGAAAGGGCTAAAATCAGAGTAGAATCAAATTAGGTAGAAGTAATTGTGATTAGAATTTGATAAGTAAAGTATAAAAAAAAAAGAAAAAAAACCCTGTATTTTTGTTGTATCTGCTAGTGCTAGATACAGCAGGCCAGGAAGAGTTTAGTGCAATGCGTGAACAATACATGAGGAAGGGTGACGGATTTTTATTGGTATATTCTGTAACCGATAAACAATCGTATGAAAATATTGTCAATTTTCATACACAAATTCTTAGAGTTAAAGACAGAGATGTTTATCCGATGCTTCTTGTTGCCAATAAAGTTGATTTAGTACATTTAAGAAAAGTAACAGAAGAACAGGGACGTGAATTGGCACAACGTTTGGGTATTCCTTATATTGAAACATCTGCCAAAGATCCACCTTTAAATGTGGACGATGCGTTTCATGAAGTAGGTATAATATTATTTAGAAATAGAATGATAATATTGTTTTATATTATTTTAATTATTGCATGTACATTATTTATTATGAAATTGGTCAGAACAAAAATTGTGAGATTTATAATTAATTAACAAAAGATCAGTAATAATATAATCAAGTATCAAGATAAATGTTGAATGATTCTTTAGGTTGTACGAATAATTAGAAATCAACCACCAGCTGAATTGGAAAAAAATCGTCGAAAACGAAGACGTACTGGAAAGTGCAATGTTCTTTAAGTATTCATGGTAATATTATTGCAAAAGGAGTCAAGGTTTTGTTACCTAATAATATTTTAAGCACACACTTTAATCATAAACAAAACAAACAAACAAACAAAAAATATGCCACTAAAAGCTGAATTAGTTTTAATCACCGATAATACGTATTCAATTTTGTATTTAATATTCGCAGTACTATATGTATATATATGTATATGTATTTTAGTCTGTTTGTTGTATTATCGATCAATGCTTCTTCAACATTATGATGAGTTTTATGATGTGATATCTGACTGGGATATCTGACACTGACTCAAAAAAAGAAATATGGCATAGTTGTAAATCACTTTCGTCTCTCATTGAATTCTGCATTGATTTTAGAAACTATTGAAAAATGAAATTACATGAAAATATTGGTCATTTTAATCTTCTGTGTAAAATACGAGAAGAGACTTATGGAGGAGGGGGCGGGGGCGGGCGGGGTCTTCATTCTTCCATACACATCAATTTTCTACCATCGATAATGTAACACGGAATTGAACGTTTTTTATTGCATAATTATAGGGAAGGGTTTTTATAACTTCTCCTTGTAAAAAAAAAAAAAAAAAAAAAAGAGAGAAAAAAAAAACAAACTTGTCATAAAATGACTATAATAATTTTATATATATATGTCGACTAAGCTCATATTTTTAAATGGCTGTCGAAAGTTCTCTAGCTTTAAGCGTATTTAGTTTGTCCTTTTTTTATTAAACAACAATTATTTTAATTACGTTATTTCGATTTTTGATTGATCTTCTAACATAAAAGATAATGGACAGAAAATGGAAAGAGAAATTAATTTTCATTAGTATTATTATTATTAGTATTATTATTAGTGATAATTAAAAAAAAAAAAAAAAATGAAATATAAGAATAAAAAAAGAAAAAAAAGAAAAAAAAAGATAATAAAAATAAAAAAGATAAGTTTCTTTATCTAAAGTATATATATATATATATATTATCAACTACTGTGGCCTTAATGTTTCTACATTCAAATATTTTTCAATGAATTTTATATATGTGTCCGCGTATATACTTTTGCTATTATTATTACTGTATTATTATTATTAGTATTATTATTATTATTATTATTATTATTATTATTTTAATTATAATTAATATGTGTATATAATAAATCGTAAATTACGTTCATTTATAAATATCCAGTGATGAGATGTTCCGCTTTTTACAATGTGCACACTATAGATTTATAATATTTCACTAGAAAATATAATTAAGGTATTTATGAATTAACACCAATTCAACAAAATTCCGATAATGCACCAATCTAAGCTTAAAATTCTTGCGACAAATTATAGACTAAAAAACTTGATTTTAAATCAAAACACTTTGAAAATTCCAAACATTTTATTTATGAAAAATAGTCAATTGGACTTCGGTGGAAAATAGGCCGATATAGAATTTAACTTAAATTTAAAACAGTCTCTATTTTCCTTTATCTGATGCTGTCGCCATAACCCTGATGATACCCTGACAAAACCCTGACGAAACCCTGACGCAAACCTGACAAAACCCTGATGAGACCCTGACGAGACCCTGACAAAACCCTGACGAAACCATAACGCAATCTTGATGAAACCCTGACGCAATCTTGGTGAAACCCTGACGCAATCTTGATGAAACCCTGACGAAACCCTGATGAAACCCTGACGCAATCTTGATGAAACCCTGACGAAACCCTGACGAGACCTTGACGAGACCCTGACGAAACCCTGACGAAACCCTGACGAAACTCTGACAGTTGCTGTGTGCAAACAACAAGGTTGTTGTGTGTGAACAACAAGATTGCTCATTATTGGCGCATTAGCGGAATTTTTGCTGCTATGGCGTTAATACGTAAGTACCAATAATAATAATAATTAATTATTATATATATATGTTCAATGTTTTTATGTTAAATGTTATAAAAACAATTAACTTTTCTGTAAAATTGATAATATTATGTACATAGAAAAACAAAAAATATGGGGGAAAAAAAAAACAAAACAAAACAAATAATCTCTTGCATTTTTAATAAATGCAATAATTACATAGATATAAATTATAATTATTATTTATAACAAAAAAGAAAAAAATAGTTAGATTTGACTAAAGTACATTCTGTAACAAAACATTATGTTGGAAGATAACTCATTTTATTGCTAAAAATATATCTGATATTGTTTTTTTTTGTAATTAATATTGTTTTAATTAAATTATTTCAGTTTTTTTTTTTTTTTTTTTTTTTTATGCAACGATATATATATATATATATATATATATATATTTACAATTCATTTTTTTTTTTATTCAGTTAACAAATAAATTTATAGAAAAATTTGTCAAACGTTGAAACATATGATTTACTTTTATAACAAAATAATGAATAATTTTTAAAATAATTTATTTATCATAAAAATATGATTCTTTTTTTCTCGAGGTTTACTTAAAATCATCGTTTTTCTTTTTTTTTTTTTTTTAATTAATTTTTTATGATGGTCGATATATCAGTCGTTTTTTATATGATAAGAAAATGCCATGGCCTATATTAGCATTTAATTGCAAAAGAAAGAAATAAAAATAAACAAATATATATATTATAAATATTATAATTAATTAAACAAATATAAATGTAGAATATATATACACATATAAGAAAATATTACAAATATATGCATTTGTAAGTAAAACTTAATGTTAAATGTTAAATACAAAAAGAAAAGAAAAAAGAAAACAATGAAGAATAAACAAAAAAAAGGATTCATTTCGAATCTAACGAATAAAATAAATCGTGCAACGTCGTCGTCGTTGTATAAAGTAATTGTTTACACATATTAAAAAAGAATCATAAAAAAAAAAAACAAAAAAAAAGAAAAGAAAAATCCATTAACTCTTTGCGGGCATAGAATTTCAAAAAAAAAAATAGCCCCCTCCCCTATGTTGCATAGAGAAATTTGATTTAAGTTTTCAAATTAAACCAAATTGGTTATATTTTTTTTTATTAATAAAAAATCTTATACAATGTAATATAATGTAAAAACATAAAAAGAAAAAAACGTGTTAATAATTAATTATTTTGCATAAATAAGACGCAAATATAATCTTATCTTGAGCATGTTTTTTTTTAACTATTGCAATAATATTTCAAAGTGGGTGGGATTAAAAATGTCCCATTGTGCATTAATGGTGTATCAAAAAGGGTGGTGGGACACTTGTGCCCCAAAGAGTTAAAAGAAATCACGAATGATATAATAAATAATAATAATAAATAATAATAAATAATAATAATAAATAAATCATTTTATTTATCAACAATCGCAATAACATTTTTCATTGCGATTTAATTATAATCATGCTTATCATCATTATGCATTATGCATTATGCATTGCAATATGCATTGCATTATATATATGCATATATATATTTGAAAGTAATTTCTATTAAACAAACAAAAGAAAAATATAAAAAAAAAAACGAATTGATTGAAGGATGTATGTGAATTCACGTTAAACAATAACGAAAAAACAACGAGTTTTAATATTTTTGTTTTGTTTTAAACGAAAATTATTCATTTTTTAAATTAATTATACACATATATACATGTTACAACACATGTATATGTATTTGGAAAGTTTCAATTAAATTGTTAATTATTTATAAACATTTTTCACACTTAGAATGAAGAAATAACGTGAATAATAACGTTTGCATCTGTCCTTGTCAGTCTGTTTGTCTGTCTGTCTGTCTGTCTGTCTGTGCTGTGTATGTTTGTTATAGGCGTGCAATGTGTGTGCTTTTTGCTATTAAAAAAGAAAATAAAAAAATCTAAAAAAAATGAAAAAAAAAAAACAAAAGGATACACGTGTACATCTACGTCATAAAAAATTAAAAAAACAAAAAAAAAGAAATAAAAAGAAAGGACCATCGAATTAAATCTTTCCTCAAATATATTTGAATTAATTGAAAATGGACAAACTCAATGATAATTATTATCATTAAAATAATACTTTGTTTATTCGATTTTATCGAAAAATATTACAATGAATTATTATATTTGATTAGGGGTGCCCCGTTACGGACTGATTGTAACTGTGACTCACGATCAGTCCGATACATACGTCTCTTTAAATCAACGAATTACCTTATATCGATTATAAATTGAGATATAAACTATCCTATCTTTTAAGTTGGATAAAACTGCACGCAATGTGCAAAATTTGATTAAAATCGGTTCAGTAATTTAGGAGTTCATTGCGGACAAACAACGTGACACGTAATTTATATATATTTAAGATAAGATATCTTTTTTTTTTTGGAACGGGGGGGCGGGGAAATGAATTAAGTCACTCGATAGTAGGGTGAATTTTTGAAATGACCCCATAATAAGATAACCTTGAGTTCATTCAATAAACTAATAAACTGTATGGTTAGATTAAATTTGATTTGAAAAAAGAGAAAGAAAAAGAATAAGAAAAAGAAAGAAAAGATATTTAACAAAAAAGAAAGTAATTAACATTTTAATCCAACGCTTAGAAATGTTGAATTATAATTATGATTACAATTGTATGTGAATATTATAATATTGCAATTATTATTTTTATTATTATTCATTATAACTTTAAAAAATGATAATTATCATGTGTTAAGTGTTTACCTAAGAATTTATTTTCCTTTTCCATAAATAAATAAGTAACGACGTGTGTATTAATGACAAAGATATAAATATAAACCGAGAAAGATAATAAATAGAAATAACGAAAAGAAAAAAATAACTCGAGGGAAATAGAATACGAAAAGTTAAATATAAATGAAGAACAAGAAAATGTAAAAAGTAAAAAGTAAAAAAAAATAAATAAAAAATGAAAAGAAAAATGAAGGAAGTGAAGAGGAATTTTTAGCAGAGTAGGAGGATTTTTTAGTTGGATTGATGTTTCAACTATTTTCAAACTACTATTTAATAAAATTAAAAATACTACTACTACTACTACTAATAATAATAACAATAATGATAAATAAGATTGAAAAGAAAAAAAAAAAAAAGAAACAGTAACAATAATCGCATATCGCGTGTTCGTAAATAAAATTGGGTTATTTTGTTTTTGTTTTTGTTTTTGTTAGATTCTAAGGAATTAGCGTTCCTCAAAACGATTTCACACATATATATTAAAACACCCACACATATATACATACATAAATACATACATACATACATACATCTTTATAATGTAAACCCGTAAATAATCGCTACGTTTTATATCGCCGTCCATGACAGAGAAATAGGGGTAATAAAGAAAACGAAAGAGGTGTAGGAGAATTATACGACGATGAGAAGAAAGAAGAAAGAAGAAAGAAAAATAAAAATAAAAATAAAATGGAGTGTAGGTGGAGGTGGTGAAAGATGTGGGTGGTGATGATGGGGGTGAGTGGGTGGTTGAAGGGAGAAGGTGGAAATGTGTGTATGTTCGATGACATGGTTCGATGTTGATCGATTGAAATGTTAAACGTAAATATGTGAGAATATGAGAATAAAATGTTAGATAAAACGATAGTTATAAAGATAGAAAATGATAGAT